GCAGTCTCGGTCAAGGCTTTCTCTTGGGTCATTAGGTCTCGAGGATCAGAACCTGAGATTAAACCTTTGAAAAGTCTGATTTAGCAACCGTATTGTATATAGACGCTAACACGCACATATACACATACGCATACACTCGAGGAAAAGTGACAGGACCAGTATAAAAGAAAATTAACCAAACCACTCTATATCAATCTATCTAGATTTTTAATTTTCATTTGACTCAATTGAGTTTGTATAAGAAGTACGATAAAGCCAGATAGTGTTCTTGCTTTAGTGTTAACGTGAGACTTCTACAAGAATGACACCCAGCCCTGATGATGTCCATCATATGATGGAAGAAAGCTCAGCACGCTTTCACCCGAAACGAGGAAGGAAGTCTCGTGGACTGCGTCAACATGAAGATCGTATAAAAGCCAAACGGTTGCAGTACAACGGGATTTATCCGTCATTATCTGATGAGATCGACCAACGCATCTCTTCTTCATTCACCTTCATACATAATGATAGTCCCCTTAAAAATTTATCCATTATTTAGGTGACAATATTGCCATTAACTCTACGATCTACTTACTGTTCGTAGTTTATTGAATCAGATCTGAGCTGATTCGATTCGCTGTCAACTAGGCGTTATTTATCTTCTACTATAATATTTGTGCCATCTTATTGTATTGCAGGCTTTCATATTGTAGGAAAGTGCACGATGAAGAGATTCGTAGGTCGATCTCATTGGAAGAGGATGCCTAATCCTCTTCGTTCTGCAGCCGTTTGGCTTTGATACGACTTTCACCTTAACGCGGTCTACAAACTCTCCGTTTCGGTTGAGCTTTCGTCCGTTACACTAATCTACAAACAGCATCAGCGTTTAACTTATTTTTGCAAAAGCTGCACATCAATTTAGTTATTTTCCTTTAAATTGGGAATATATATAGCATATGGTATAAATCCAGATAGTCTTCTATATGTCTTGCTAACTTGAAGCATTTGCAAGTTCCACCTCTAAAATGTCCTTCAGTAGATAATATTGACGAAAGTTCAGCTCGGTTTCACACGAAACAAGGGAGGATGTCTCATGGATTGCTTCATTCTGAACATAGTGGTAAAGCCAAACGGCTGTAGAACAGCGAGAACCAGCTATCCTCTTACGGTGAGATAAAACCACGATTTTTTTTATCCTACACTTTTATACGAATTGAGAGTATATATTACACTAAGATGATGTAAAATTCCTTAGAAGTGAAAGACCTAAGACCAGTAACTCGCGAGTCTTACCAGTTCAGATAAGGTACAGTAAAACACGAATATTAATTAGATCAGAGCTTCCTTTAAGAATGAATAATTTTTCATATGAAAATTATTTGGCCCAGTTTAAGCGATTTGAGAGCTTTTCGCATGTCATAACCTTTCTGTCATTCCTTCTTTTCTAGGAAGATAACAAAAAGTACGAAACTGATAGATCAAAATACTTTTTTAAGAAACCCCTATCGATATTCATATATCTTCCTCATTTTTATCATTATATATATATTTATGTATAGTAAGTAGGATATTTCCGGATATATACGAAGAAAAGTTGGGTTTCGAGGAATCTCTGGTTTCATGATTGTTGAGCTTACTTCCATTTCGAGTGAAAGGGTTTGAAGTTTTCTTGACTCGTTAGCTTGAATTTTGTTGTGAAGATGTTAA